GTTTTTCTGAGGTATGCCAAACCCAACGCAAAAGCCAGCTGTTTTGGGCCTACCAGACCTATCCCCACAGAATTAAACATTTTACTACTATTTAATTCTGTGTGGTTAGGGAGGGTTAGGGTTAATACATTATGATAAACAATTGAAGCATGTCTTTTTAACAATCAGAGTCAGTTTTAATATTGTTATTTTTATTATTGACTACAAACTTGTCTATTGTTTGCTTTATTTTTTTACTTTTTTAAGAAATGGCAAAATACTTTGAGGACTTGTGAAAGTTTATTTTCATTCTGTCACTGGTTCCTGCACTGCTCACACTTTAGATGTGTAGTCTAACCATTAATACTGGCGAAGCTTGACTTTTGCAGCATTGATGTCAACAACGGTGCATGTTGTGTCATTGCCTTCAATGGAAATCAGAATAAAAAGACAATGCCAAAAGCAACGGAAAAGAAACAGTACTCGTACCAACCACAGTCCCGCGAAGCGGCGCAAGATGACAAACTTCGCAGTGAATACGCGTAAAACTTTGCAATTGCATGGGCGCCATTTGAGCAAGTGATACGCCTGCGCAATGCACAGTAATGCAAAGGTGCAGGCGCCACGGCAGGCATGTGCACCTGGTGAGCCTGCGCCTAAGCACAACCGTAAACTGCACAGGCTTATCGCTTGCTCAAGTGGTGCCCATTGTAATTACACCCTTTGGGCAGAGTTATCCATCTTGCGCCTTCGGCACTATATGATCTTTGGTATATACCAAGGCATCAGGAGGAATGACTGTGTATCGGACCATTGCGTTTAGGGTAGAGCTACGCTCATTGCAGCACTTGCCCTGGGGCCTTTGTGATTAACCATGGTGTCATTACTGGAAAGTATGCCAGCCCACAGAAACATCGTAAGTCTGCCGAGTCTGTGCGTGACGTTGCCAAATTAACAGCATTAAGGGAACTTTCACAGAAATCAGATGAGATAAATGCTGAGGTGTATGCAACAGAAATCTTAGTAGTGGAACACAATCACGTCAGACTACTGCTACGCAAAATGTTTCCAAACAATTATGTAATAATGCCAAACAAATAGTATCATTGACATTGTGATCAAACAAAAACAAGATGCAAAAGTTCAACATACAAAGGTCTGCAAGAGCACAGGAGAGGGAAGGAAGCGGAAGTTGCTAGGACCAGTTCCAACGAGCCTCTGTATAAAGTATCAAAGTAGTGATGTGTTATTTTATCATTTTAATGCAAATTCACAGTTTGTGCAGGGTGCGTGAATTCAAAGGAATTCAAATTTTGGAATTCAATTGTTGGGAGGTCTGTATTCTGCCAGTCAGTGAATTATGAAATTAATGTACATGTACCTTTACTTTCTCTCATTTCATTTACTGGTACCAAGACCAGCCCCGATACGTCAAAAATCATTACCTTTTACCCGTTACACCTTTCACCGTCACCAATTAGATCTTACCAGGACCATCATCATCTTTGTGATAAGTCAAAGATAAACATTGAATTCCTGGTAGGGGGGCAGGACACTGCAAATGCTGTTGGGGGGGGTGGTCTTAGAAGTTGGCATTTCCCGGGTACGTTGTGTGCACTTTATAGACGGTCCCTAATCAGAACAACATATCCATGCATGCTTAAAGCTCATGAAGTTCCTGAGACATTGGCCTCAGGTATGAGAAGACCCAACTTTTTATTTCTGATTTTGAAATTTCCATGTTAAAACTACCTTACATTCAAATTTTTTCCACCCTGGCAAAGTGAGGCATCGGCAAGACCGGTCAGCCCCAAGTTCATCGTGACTCTGGAGGGCGCCATGCAGTCCAAAGCCAAGACCAAGCAGCGCAAGTCGGCCAGGGTGGCGCCCCGCATTTCCCTCACGCGAACGATTGACAACAGCACCGTGTACTCCAACTACGTGGAAATTCAGCAGCAGCAACAACAGCAGCAACGACAGCAGCAGTTGCAGATGGAAGAGGAAGAAGAAGACCTTGCCCAGCTGCAGCGGGACGAGCTGGCGCTCCAGCAGGAGCTCGCTCTTCAGCAGCGTAAGCAGGAATTGCTGCGGCAGCAGCGGCAGCAGCAACAGCGGCAGCAACCTGTGGAGGACTACATCAGGAGAGAGGACCAGCTGGCATTTGTCACTCAGACACCTCACATGGATCAAGTAGAAGAGATGCAGTTCATAGCTGAAGGTACAACCGGCCAACTGTTACTCCCATGAAATCAAGCGATGTTTGGGCATACCTGGGGGAGGCTGAATAAAGGACCCACGCCATAGTCTCAAAGCTTCAAATCCTAGTTTTTTTTCAGTGTTGTAATCTAGCGAATGGCAAGTCCATTCACGTGTCCTTTCACAAGTCATTTCATAAGATTCGTCACAACAAGATGAAAACAAATGTCTTTTGTCATAGTTTATAGTTTATAGCTTGTTGGTTGACTTGCATCAAGATGGCTTGTAATGGGCATGTTATGGAGTGGACTACAGAAATGAAAAGTACAATACTGCTGAAACTAAATTAAGTATTCAATCATTCAAGTCCCTTAGGCAACTATTGGCATTCACCTCTCTGATGAGGTCCTTCCACGACAATCCAGAGTTTTGTCTTAAAATTGGCACTCTGATGATATTTTTGAATTGGTAGTTTTTCATCTGTTTTCCTTCATTGTGTCTTAGGATCAGAGAAGAGATTCTTCTTATAGTGAACATCAATGAAATTTTCATTTCCACAGCATATTTTTGAGTGTTTGGCTTTCGGTTCACAGTTTAAAAACAGTTTGCTGTCATTCCCACAATAGGCTGATTCACTTGCCTTTTGATTTCATAGACTCATACCAAGAGGGCCCTAGTCCAGCAAAGAAAGAGAAATCTTCCGCGGAGCGGTGTATGTTTTGGCCAGCCTGTAAAAACGGCAGCGACTGTCTGTATGTTCACCCCACAAAACCATGCAGGTGAGTGCAGTATTACTGGAGTATGGAATTAGTTTTTCATTGAAATAAACATGGCTACCCTTGTTAAGCCTAACCATGCTGAACCCAACAAGGTTATGCAGGATTTCAATGGTCCCTAGGGGGTTAGGGTTAATTAACTAGGTGCTTCTTTGGAATAATCATGGCTACCCTTG